GACTGAGACTGGAGGAACCCTCGAAGCCATGGTCCCTGGACACTTTGTTAACCCAAAGCTAAAACCATTCCCGAAGCCCATGCTTCAGACAAAGATTAGACTGAACTATAAAGCATAAAATAATACTTGTGAAGAATGTACTTCTTAGTTCAAGCAGATACGTGAGACCAAATGGGGGACTCCTGTCTAGAGGCAGAATGAGAAGGTAGGAAGGGACAGGAGCTAATAGGATGGACACGGGAAACCTGGGGTGGAAAGGAGGAGTGTGCTGTCACATTATAGGGATTGCAACTACTGTCACGTAACAATAAGTGTGTAAGTTTTTGTATGAGAAATTAACTTGAACTGTAAACTTTCACCTGAAGCACGATAAAAATATATATATTTAAAAAAAAAACAAGAGTTCGGCTGCTAACTGAAAGGTCAGGGCTGAACTCACGAGCCAGTCCATGGAAGAAAGATGTGGTAGTCTGCTTCCATAAACATTTACAGCCTTGGAAATCCTATAGGGCAATTTTACTCTGTCCTGTAGGGTGGCTATGAGTCGGAGTCAACTCAATAGCTCACAACAATGAAAGCAACCCTATAGGACAGAGTAGAACTGCCCCGTAGGGTTTCCTAGGCTGTAGTCTTTACAGGAGCAGATCGCCAGGTCTTTCTCCTGCAGAGCCACTGGTGGATTCAAGGTGCTGACCTTTCGGTCAGCAGCAGAGCGCTTAACAATTGCGCCACTAGGGCTCCTTATGGACAGATCTAGAACCGTGAAACTGAAGATCTGAACAGCAGAGAAATTTAGAATCTTGTGCCTTCCTGCTCAAAAGGTAGTCCATGGACAGCAGTGTAGGCATCACCTGGGAACTTGTTAGAAATACAGACTCTCAGGCCCCACCCCGGCCTACTGACTCGTAGTCTGTATTTTAACGAGATCCTCAGGTAATTTGCTGGAAAGTTCAAATTTGAGATACTCTGATCTAATCCAAGGCTTTACATTGTACTTGAACTTGCTGCAGTGGAGCCAGCAGAGGGCAGTGCTGCAGGGCTATGCAGAACTGGCTGAAGGACAGACTGAAACATCTTGTCCTGAGACTTCAGGGCACATGATGCTGCTCGTGATGAGAACTTTGAGCACGTGCTGGAGTGTCCTCTTTGTACAAAGACAAATGGCTTGAGTTCACTAAATTCACCCCTCCTAAATTTGGATGCAGAAAAACAAACGAGGGGCTGAGGAAGCACGTGAGAATCAGGCTTGGTCCTTGCACTGGAACTTCCAGCGAAGGGAGTTGTTTCGGCATAGGATGTCAGGAGCCCTGGAGGTAGGACCGACCTCATGGGTGCAACCTGTGCAGTACACTGGACCCACACTCAGAAAGGCCCAGCACTTGTTGAATACTCTGGTGTTACCATCTTCAAATTCTTAACAATTTTATCTTTCAACTTGTGCTTTGTAACTGAAGTTGGTTGGCATAACAAGCATGCACGCCAGCAGAGAAAACATGTGCAGTATGTTGCAGAGTGCAACAGTGTCCACCGCCGTTCCTTATCAGTCTATTCAAATGCAGTATTTGTGATACCCCATGAGCATAGAATTCCAATGGACCCATGTTGTGTGGGAGTTCAGTGAGATTCCGAGTAAGTACAAGGTCAGTATGTTATGGAAATCATCAGCTTTTATCACATGTTGGTAGAATGTGGGTGCATCAAGAAGTAAAATAAAAATAGTTGAGTTAGTTTTCTGGAGTGTTTCAACTGGGTAGTAAGGACAAAATACGTATGTGCGTATAAGCTATGAAATGTGAATTGAGTAATTTCAGTGACTCCATATGTGAATTAAATGTTTTTATATTTGCATTTAAAATTGACATTTCACAATATAACTATAAATGGTAAAACTCATGATAATTCAAATTTTTCTTTACCTAGAATGACACTAAATGGCAATGAAAAACACCATTGCGAGGAGAAAAAAAGGAAAAAGCTTTATATTTTAGTACCTTTAACGGCACTTTTTCCTGCTTTTTACACAAGAGCCCTGCATTTTCATTTTGCACTGGGCCCCACAAATTATGTATCTGGTGCTGCCTTGAAAGGATGGGACAGTGTAAAATGGCGTGGGGGCAGCATCTGACCTCCCCTAACTTCACAACAGGGGAGGAGAATCAAGATCAACAGCGCAAGGCTGATTCCTATGAGGCAGAGGTCAGACATGCCTCCACCCTCCAACCTTTTTACCAATTCTGACACTAACCCTCCCCTCCACGGCACTCTCTACTTCTCTGCTGGGTTTTATAATTCATTGCAACGGCCACACAGAACTCACAGACCATACTCACAGTTATGGGCTTTATTGTAAGAGGTTACAGTTCAGGCTCAGGAATGCTCAGGATACAGTTCTTCCATCAGGACAAGCTCTTTTCAGCCGTGCCCTCAGGCACACCTCTCTCTGGCCCTCAGCCTCTGCCCTGCTCAGGCAAGCGTTACAAAGCTCTTGTGGCTCTACCAATAAGTGCCCAAAGGCACCCTACTCCGCTAGCAAGCCTCAGTCTCAAGGCACTCAGCTCTAGCTCCATGAGTTAGCAAACCTAGCCCCACCAAGTGCCGGAGGCACCCTGCTCCAACAGCAAGCCTCCTGCCCGAAGACTCTGGGCTTTCTTGCTCCACGGGCAGAGGAAGCCCACCGTGCAGTCTTCTGCTGGTCTCTCCTACCGCCACTGCTTCTCGCCATCTTCAGTGTTAGAGCTCTCTCTCTCACACACACTCTCATTCTCTCTTTCTCTCTCAGTCTCCTGGTTCCAGGAGCTTCTCAGCACAGGGATCCCAGGTCCAAAGGACATGCTCCACTCTTGGCTCTTCTTCCTTGGTGTTGGTGAGATCCTTTCCCTCCCCATTCTGGGGTGGCTCATTTTAAGCCTAGTGGGATGGCAAAACTGACCAATCCCCTTGGTGAGCTGCAATTACCTTATTTGCACAGTCCCACCCAATCTCTAGGGTGGGAGTTACAAGACCATGGCCAGAAAGGCCACACAAAAGGAATCCACGACACTGCAGACAGGCAGGGAATAGTTGGTGCCTGTGGCCTAGGCTTTCTAACTTGAGATTTGCCTCAGGTTTCCAAGTAACTAGAACCAACAGAAATGTGATGACTGCAAACAGAGGTATGCCTGTTTCGTAGCAGCTGAAGAACATGCTCATATGTGATGTGAAGTGGCATTTCTTCCCTTCTTACTGCTTCTTCCAGAAATGCCCTTTCATTCCACTCATGCACGTGGGTGTGCATGCATGCATGTGGTTTCTAGATTTCCTGGGCTCACTGGTGAGTCAAGAGAACCAGGCTTAAGGCAGATGCAGCAGCTTCTGGGGGCACAGATTCTGAGGATTCGGGGTCCCTGTATCCCCAACCTCCCGTCCCACCAAGAAAAAGTGAAGGAAAAGGAAAGGAGGCCTGGACGGTCAGACTGAAGGATGGGGGGGTGATCAGGGGTGAGGTTGGTGTGGGAGTGCAGGCTGGGCTGAGGAATGGGGTGAGTTTCCTAGGGAGCCCAAACTATGCTGTGGAAACAGAAAAAACTCAAAATTTCTTGTCATGCATTTCCAGGTGGCTGCCCTCCAAATGATGGCTCAGACCCAGGATCTTTGGGTTTTGGGCTTCACTTCTCAGAGTCCCTCACTTTCTGCTACATCAATCCCACCCACATTCTATTGGCCAGAAACAGACACAAGGCCACAGGTAGATGAAAGGGGAGCTGGGAAAAGGAGTTTTTCTACTGGTCCAGAAGGAAAATGAAATGGTTTGGTGAACACACAGCATTATCTCTGTTACAGAGGAGATCAAAGAAGGTGAAGGGCTGGTGGGATGGGGGGAAGGCTGGTCTGGTTTAAAGACAAAGAGGTCTGTGATGGGACAGTTCCCTGAGCAGGGAGCATATCCTTTAGTGACCTTTTCGGCTCCAAGCCCATTGGGAGACTCAAAAGAGGGGAACTTAAAGCTCAAATCCCAGGTGCTATGTCAGGGGAGAGCTTCCGGGCTCCCTACCTGGATATAATGGACCTTTTGTCAATTTGATGGTGTCATTGGATCCTATGACACAACTAGGACTTGGAAAGTTGCCCACTCAGTAACAATGGTGAAAAGAGGAGGAGGGGGAACTCAGCTCCCTGTGAAAGGCCTGGGAGAGACCCTTCTTATGTGGAAAACCTGTATGCTCAATTCTAGGACAGTAAGCCTGACCCCACATTCCAAGGAGTCCTAATGAGTGTCTTCCTTAGAGGGGCTGGAATAAGGCAAATCCTTGAGAAGGAGGCCAGACCTCGATCAGAGACCAAGGGAGCTTAAGACAGCTGGAAGCCCAGGAGGCTTAACGTGGATGTTGGAGCATGGGTCGGAGGTAACACAAATTAACTCCTCAGCTGCACTGACACACGGAGCCTCTGATCCCAGGATCTTCCTCTTTGTGTCCCGATGTCCCAGTTTGCCCAAGGTGATGGAGAAGACATTGTCTGACAGATTTAGGACAACTTCAGGAATCCACTTTGACAATATGATATCAAACATTTATTTAAACAACTCACAAAGCATTTTCATAGTATGATCACAGTTCTTGTTGGAAGAGTACTTGTGTATCTATAAGTGTGTGTTGAGAAACAACTAAAAACCCATTGTCGTCAATTCCAACTCATAGCGACCATATAGGATAGAGTAGAACAGCCCCATAGGGTTTCCAAGGAGCAGGTGGTGGAGTGGAACTGACAATCTTTTGGTTAGCAGCCAAGCTCTTAACCACTGTGCCACCAAGGCTCCAAGAAACAACTAGGAGACATTAAATAAAATATTAACTAAAAAATCCCTCTGTTGTCAAACCGATTTAGACTCATAGTGACCCTATAGGATAAAATGGAACTGCCACATAGGGTTTGCAGAAATGTAAATCTTTACAGAAGCAGACTGCCACATCATTCTCCCATGGAGCAGCTGGTGGGTTCAAAACGCTAACCTTTCTCTTAGAAGCCAAGCACCTAACCACTGCACCACCAGGGCTCTTGACATATTAACAATGGTTTTTAAAAAAAAAAGTTAATTTGAAAATCATAGATTTTCAACAACACACTTTCCTCTACCCATATAGCCAGACTTCCTGTCTTGGTTAAGTGATCTTGTGCATGGTTGCTGACGAAGGTAAGATTTTTTGGTCCTGAAGTTTCACTCTTGGGTTTGAAGAACTCTTCTTAGGGAAGTAGGAGGCTAAGAACAACAGGTACCATGACCACTAGCCACGTTGCAATCCAAGCTACTCCAGAGGATCGAGCTGAAAGAACAAGAAAATCCCAAATTCTTAGGTGTCTTGATTAATGTGTTGGGGGGTGGAGGTATGAAGGAAATAGGCCTGGGAGGTAGTAGAGTGGAGGGATGAGTTTCCTCCCTGGATCTAGTTCAAGTGTGCTTGGGACATCCTTTTCGTAATGCAAAGATCTCTGCAAACATAAAGTATAAAGAGTGCAGAAATCCCTTAAATACCATTGGCTTTGCTAGGTTCCATGTCTGAAGTTTACTTTGGCATATCTGTGAGCCTCAGAAAGAATACTCTTCTACAATGGACAGCAATGAGGCAGGGAAGAGCTTCAGGTGTAGACAAATGACCATATTATGCCATGCACAGCTGACTTTAGGGAAGGAAGGACTACTTCTTCATCCTATGTCTCCACCCCTTTAACCATCTGTACCAACTAGAAGGAAAGGGGGAAAGGGAAAGTTTGGAAGGAAGAATAGGAAGGAAGGAAGAAACGAAGGGAAGGAGGGAGGGAAGGAGAAGGAAGGAGGGGAGGAAAGGAGGGATGCAGGGAGAGAGGAAGGGAGGAAGAAAGAAAGAAGAAAGGGAGAGAGGAAAGAAGAGAGAGAGGGAAGGAGGGAGGAAAGGAAGGAAGGAAAGAAGGAAAGAAAAAGGGAATGGGGCAGAGCAGGAATTTTTCTAGGATGACTTGGGGTGGCTAAAATGTGACAAAATTGGTTTAGTCCTTTCAAAAAAAGTGGGTATATTATTACTTTCATTCTTTCTTTGAATCAGAAGTCACCTCCCATTTTACAAGGGACAAGGATTGTGCCTCGTCTTTCTTGTGGATCTCAGAATGTGGTATTGATATGAAGGTGGTGTGGGAACCCTCCAGCCAAACTGGCCTTATGATCAGACACCAAAACTAACTTGTCACATTGGGTCTGTGGTGGCATATTAAGAGATGCTGGAAGGGGCATGAACAATAGGTTGAGAAGAATAAAGAAGAGTACAGGTCCCAAAGTCCAGCTGTGGAAGCAGAAGTAAAGCAATAAGCACAGGTGGGAAGGGTAGACTGAGTCATGGAAGATCATGAGAGAATAATGTCCCCAGGGCCATGATCCTTGAACACTGGACATGACAGGGACTGGCAGACAAATGTTGGCACCACGGGTATGAGTCATTTTGGAAGACTATGCACACCAGGGCTCAGTGATGTGACCTCAGAGTTTGGGGAGTGTAAGATCTGGAATGCTGGAGATAGTGACCCAAATTTATTAAGGATTCCCCAAAGTCCCTAGTGTCTCCAGCGTTCAAGGGACTGAGCCTAATTTAGTTAGTATTCACTGAGGACTTGTTAAATGATAGGCAGTGTGCTGGGTAGGTTACATGGATTGTCTCATCTAATCCTCCTTATAATTCCATGAGATAAGAACTATTATATTGTCTTTTTCTTAAGAAGAATATGGATGGGGGGACTTAAATGACTTGCCTATCTACTAAGTGACAACCCCAGAATTAACCCCAGGTGTGACTGACTCTAAAACCTATAATCCTTCATAGAAGCTTCCAAGACACATCCAACACCTTAAGGGACTGAGTCACTGGGGCTGAGGGCTGGGGACCATGGTCTCAGAAGACATCTAGGTCAATTGGCATAACATAGTACATAAAGAAAATGTTCTACATCCTACTTTTGTGAGTAGCATCTGGGGTCCTAAAAGCTTGTGAGCAGCCATCTAAGATACACCTATTGGTCCTAGCACGTTCAGAGCAAAGGAGAATGAAGAAAACCAAAGACACAAGGAAAATATTGTCCAAAGGACTAATAGACCACATGAACCACAGTCTCCACCAGCCTAAGCCCAGAAGAAAGAGATGGTGTCTGGCTACCACCATTGACCGCTCTGACAGTGATCACAATAGAGGTTCCAGGGCAGAGCAGGAGAAAAATGTAGAGCAAAATTCAAATTCACTATAAAAGACCTAATGGTCTTTCTAATGGTGACTGGAGGAACCCCTGAGACTATCGCCCCCGGACAACCTTCCAACTCAGAACTGAAGCCACGCCCAAAGTCCACCTTTCAGCCAAAGATTAGACAGGCCTATAAAACAAATAATAACTCATGTGAGGAACGTGCTTCTTAGTTCAATCAAGTATACAAGACCAAATGGGCAATACGTGACCAAAAGTAAAGACAAGAAGGTAGGAAGGGACAGAAAACTGGATGAACGGACACTGAGCACCAAGTGTGGAAAGGGAAAGGAGGAGAGTGTTGGCACATTGCAAGGATTGCAACTAATGTCATAAAACACTTTGTGTATAAAATTTTTGAATGAGAAAATAATTTGCATTGTAAACTTTCACCTAAAACACAATATTTTTTTTTTTAATGATCTTAGCTACTCCATTATAGCACAATGTAGGCATGATCTCCACCACTCATCCATCAGTTTGCCATACTGTGGTGGGTTGCTTGTTGATTTGATGCTATGCCACCAGTATTTCAAATACCAGCAGGATCACCCTTGGTGGACAGGTTTCAGCAGAGCTTCCAGAGTAAGACAGACTAGGAAGAAGGACTGGGCAGTATACTTCTAAAAAAACTGGCCAGTGAAAATCTTATAAATAGCAGCCGAACACTGTCTGATATAGTGCCAGGAGATGAGTCCCTCATGCTGGAAAGCACTTGAAATACAACTGGGGAGGAGTTGCTTCTTCAAAGACCTTAATGACATGGATGGAGTATAGCTTTCTGGGCCTTCATTTGCTTATGTGGCATGACTCAAAATGAGAAAGAATAGCTGCAAACATCCATTAACAATCAGAACATGGAATATACGAATATGAATCTAGGAAAATTGGAAATTGTCAAAAATGAAATGGCTGCATAAAGATCAATATCCTAGGCATTAGTGAGCTGAAATAGACTGGTATTGGCCATTTTGAATCAGACAGTCATATGTCTACCATGCCAGGAATGACAACGTAAAGAGGAATGGCATCACCTTCATCCTCAAAAAGAACATTATGAGATCTATCCTGAAGTACAATGCTGTCAGTGATAGGATAATATCCATACGCCTACAAGGAAAACCAGTTAGTATGATTATTTGACTATTAGTCAAGTTTACCGACCAACCACTGAGGCCCAAAATAAGGAAATTGAAGATTTTTACCAACTTCTGCAGTACGAAATAATCAAATATGCAATCAAGATGCATGGATAATTACAGGTGACTTTAATGTGAAAGTTGAAAACAAAGAAGGATTGGTAATTAGAAAATATGGCCTTGGTGATAGAAACGACGATGAAGGTTTCATGATAGATTTTAGCAAGACCAATGACTTCATTGCAAATACTTTTTTCAACAACATAAACTGTGACTATACACATGGACCTTGCCAGACGGAATACACAGGAATCAAATCAACTACATCTGTCGAAAGAGATGATGGGGAAGCTCAATCTCATCAGTCAGAACAAGGCTAGGGACTGACTGCAGAACAGATCATCAATTGCTCATACGTGAGTTCAAGTTGAAGCTTAAGAAAACTAAAACAAGTCCATGAGAGCCAAAGTATGACCTTGAATATATCCCACCTGAATTTAGAGACCATCTCAAGAATAGATTTGATGCATTGAACACTAATGACTGAAGAACAGACAAGTTGTGGAATGACATCAAGGACATCATACATGAAGGAAGCAAAAGATTATTAAAAAGACCCAAAAGAAAGAAAAGACCAAAATAGAAGTCAGAAGAGACTCTGAAACTTGCTCTTGAACACAGAGAAGCTAAAGGGAAAAGAAGAAATGATGAAGCAAAATTGCTAAACAGAATATTTCAAAAGGTGGCTAGAGAAGATGAAATAAAGTATTATAACGAAATGTGTGAAGACCGAGTTAGAGAACCAAAAGGGAAGAACATTCTTCACATTTCTCAAGCTAAAGAACTGAAGAAAAATTCAAGCCTTTAGTTGCAATTTTGAAGGATTCTATGAGCAAAAAATTGAACGACACAGGAAACATCAAAAGAAGATGGAAGGAATACACAGAGTCACTGTACCAAAAAAAATTGGTCAACATTCAATCATTTCAGGAGATGTCATATGATTAAGAACTGATGGTATTGAAGGAAAAAGTCTAAGCTGCATTTGAGGCAAAAAACAAGGCTCCAGGAATTGAAGGCATACCAATTGAGATGTTTCAACAAATGGATGCAACGCTGAAAGTGCTCACTCTTCTATGCCAGGAAATTTGGAAGAAATCTGTCCAACTGGAAGAGATCAATATTTCTGCACATTCCAAAAAAAAAAGGTGATCCAACAGAATGGGGAAATCATCAAACAATATCATTAATTTCACACACAAGTAAAATTTTGCTGAAGATCATTCAAAAGCAGTTGTAGCAGTACATCGACAGGGAAGTGCCAGAAATTCAAGCCAGATTCAGAAGAGGACGTGGAACCAGGGATGTCATCGCTAATGTTAGATGGATCCTCGCTGAAAGCACAGAATACCAGAAAGATGTTTACCTGTGTTTTATTGACTGTGCAAAGGCATTCGACTGTGTGGATCATAACAAATTATGGATAACATTGTGAAGAATGGGAATTCCAGAACACTTAATTGTGCTCATGAGGAACCTCTACATAGACCAAGAGGTAGCTGTTCGAACAGAGCAAGAGGCTATTGTATGGTTTAAAATCAGAAAATGTGTGTGTCAGGGTTGAATCCTTTCACCATACCTATTCAATCTGTATGCTGAGAAAATAATCCAAGAAGCTGGACTACATGAAGAAGAATGAGGCATCCGGATTGGAGGAAGACTCATTAACAACCTGCAACATGCAGATGACACAACCTTGCTTGCTGAAAGTGAAGAGGACTTGAAACACTTACTGATGAAGATCAAAGACTACAGCCTTCAGTATGGATTGCACATCAACATAAAGAAAACAAAAATCCTCACAACTGGACCAATAAGCAATATCATGATAAATGGAGAAAATATTGAAGTTGCCAAGGATTTCATTTTACTTGGATCCACAATCAATGCCCATGGAAGCAGCAGTCAAGAGATCAAAGGATGTATTGCACTGTGCAAATCTGCTGCAAAAGACCTCTTTAAAGTGTTAAAAAGCAAAGATGTCACTTTGAGAACCAAGGTGCACCTGACCCAAGCCATGATATTTTTAATCGTCTCCCATGCATGCGAAAGGTGGGCAATGAATAAGGAAGACTAAAGAAGAATTGATGCCTTTGAATTGTGGTGTTGTCAAAGAATATTGAATATATACCATGGACTGCCAGACGAACGAACAAGACTGTTTTGGAAGAAGTTACAGCCAGAGTGCTCCTTGGAAGTTAGGATGACGAGACTTTGTCTCACATACTTTGGACATGTCATCAGGAGGGACCAGTCCTTGGAGAAGGACATCGTGCTTGGTAAAGCAGAGGGTCAGCGAAAAAGAGTAAGGCCCTCAACCAGATGGATTGACACAGTGGCTGCAACAATGGGCTCACGCATAACAGTGAATGTGAGGATGGCACAGGATTGGGCAGTGATTTGTTCTGTTGTACACAGAGTCACTATGAATCAGAGCTGACCTGACTGCACCTACCAACAACGACAGGCATGATCTAGAGCCAGGAGTGATGCTCAAGTGAATGAATTTTCCCAAGAGACACAGAGGAATATGAAATGCAAAACTGACAGTTTGCCCTTCTAAACTTATCCAGGAGCATAAACCTGGGCAGGAGCAGGGAGTCTCCACCCCAGAATAAGGCTCTCACTCCTGTTCACTAGTCTTGCTCATACTCATCTACTAGGACTTTTTTTCCTTTGCTGTTGTAAACTGTCCACCAGGAACCCCTCTGTCCTGCTCAAAATGTCTGGGTTGCCTTCCTGAACTCTGACCCAACAGACCACTCGTTCATTTTCTTCCTGCTCCCCCTGATTGTTCAGGCTGTTCTACAATTACCCTGACCTCAGACTTTAGAGCTTCATGCCTTGTCAGAGCTGAGAGAGCCATCAGAGACCGGATACCAACTGCCCTTTGCAAATGAGGATACAGATCCACAAAGGTGAGGTGAGCTTGCTGAGAGGTGGTGGCAGAAATGGGAGTAGGACCCAAGTCTCCCAAGCTTACAGATGCCTTTGTGATTCTCCATCAAGTTGTGTTCCAGAAGGCTGAGTAGAATTCCCACATCCTTCTTCATTCAGGAGAAAACTAGTTACCCTTTGCCCACCTCGTTTCCCCAGATCCCTCAGAGATAGTTCTTACCCACATCACAGGGTGGAATGAAGTAAACCTTGTCACTCTGGCTGCTTGCTGGGTTGCTGACTTTGCAGGTGAAAGACTTGGGGTGATATTCTGGCTTAAGGGGGATTTCAAACACAGCATTCTGGTGTTCTTGCTGAGAGAGCGCTGAGTCCACATACCAAGTGTAGTTTACAGACTTGCTCGAGGTCTCACATAATAGTTTCAGGTAACAGCTGCTGTTCTCTTCCTTTTTCTCCTCAGCTTTTATGACTGGTTTGGATACAGGGTCTGAAGATGGGAAATGTTATAAGATTAAACAATGGATTTATGCACTTATGAGGATTTTATGTCGCAAGGGTTAAGCCAATAAAGTACAAAGGGAGCTGGGGACGCCCCTTTAGTGCCTATAGTGGGAAGCAGAGCATCATGAAGAAGACATCCCTACAGAGGGAGGAGCCAGTGAGCAGCTTTGCTTTAGCATCAGGAGGCTTCAGACTGCAAGAGCTAAACCCTTGGAGGTGAAGCTAAGCTGAATCCAGAAGGAGGAGTCAGAGTCCATGACATGCACCCAACAATGAAACGGGGTTATGACCATATGTGAGCCAGAGAGAGCAGCAGAGTCTTGGCCGAGAGATCTGCTGGGGCTGGACTTGGTATCCCAACTGTCTGAGCTGCTCAAGTCCCTTCGCTAACTAACAATGGCCCACAGTTGCCACCTTGACCCTTCTGTCTTTGAGGAGTTCTTTGACTCAGCCTCTCAGGCTCAGATTCTGGGATAGGAGGTACTGGCCTTCACATCGCAAAGCCCTTTGCACAACCAGGGGAGGTACCATCCTCCTGGATTCTGGCAGTGCTGCGGGGAAGAATCTCACGTAAACCCCAGCACTCATTAGCAGTGATGAACAGTATTTTGTCTGTCTGTCTGTCTGTTAATTTTGGCATCCCACTCTCTGGCACAGTGCCTGCCACATACTAGGTATTCTATAGGTACTTGAAGAAAGGATGGATGGGTGGATGAAGCAGTTATGTGATAGGACAAAATGCTAGCTTTCGAGTGAGAGCAGCCTGGGTCCTGGATTTGGCTCTGGTGGAGTGACATTAGGCAAAGTGGCTAAGCCCCCCTGAACTTCCTTTTTCTTTATTTGTAAAATGACCCTACTTCACAGTCTTAGTGAGATAAAATGACATCGTACGTGAGAAAGAGTTTTTTTCAAAGTGTTTAAGTGTTTTATACATGTTCGAGATCACACTATCATCACTAGTGTTGTTCTGGTGCCAGGTTGGATGAGAGGTAATCTGAGCATCATTCCTTGGCGAGGGCTGGGTTTACCTGAAATCCTCTGGGATCTTTCCACCTGTTGTTGTTGTTAGCTGCCATCAAGTGGGCCCCAACTCACGGTGACCCCGTGCACAAGGGAACAAAACGCTGCCCGGTCCTGCACCATCCCCGTGATTGGTGTAAATCAGTTCCACTGTGATCCATAGGATTTTTCTTGGCTGATTTTCAGAAGGACATCACCAGGCCTTTCTTTCTAGTCCACCTTAGTCTGGAAGCTCCACAGAAACCTGTTCAGCATCACAGCAACGTTCAAGCCTGCACTGACAAGTGCAGTGGGTAAAATTCTAAAGAATCAGTGTGGCTCAGACCACATAGGATTAAATATGGCAGAGAATTTACCAGATCAGACCTTGCTTTTGGATTGTAAGCATGTGGAAGGTCTATTAAAACCCTACCAACCTGGCCTCTTGAACTTCACTTCTGTCTCCTCTGTGCAGCCTTCTCAGATTGCTCTACTCTAAAATTGGTCAATGCTTTAATTGACCAATTTTAATAAAGTCTTTCATCAGTTCCTGTGTTCTAGCCTCAATCTTATATAGCGTCCTTATTTCCCATGGTGAACAGCACAGCATTAAGCATGTTGTTGATAGGATGTATTGAACCAGCTGGGGTGGTCTAGCTCTAAGATGCTCCCTTAGAGTTATTAGAAGAGCCTAGGCTGATCCCACCCTCTGGGTCTTACCCTCAGGAAAAGTGTGCTGGAGCCAGGCTGACTTGTGGATTTTTATATATTCCAACAATTTTTTTTTTTAAATATTTTATTGTACTTCAGAAGAAGGCTTACAGAACACATAGTTTCTCATGTAACAGTAA